ATATGCATGCTGCGCAGGTGATGACACGGCATTTGCCGATTACCTACTCAGGTCTCTCGGCAAAGGCGCCCTGCGGCTGCAGTATATGTTTACCCCACACAAGACTAGCATAACTCGAGATTCGAAGGATTTTGTACAATAAGCTCATAACCCACACCCCTTGCAAATATCCTGGTATCCAACCTGATATATAATTATTACTAGCTAGAATCGAACCACTACCCGCTGTAGTGGTCCCCAGCAAACCTTAAAGTGTTGGGTTGCCGTTGTGGTTTACATCTCTTTTGTATTGGGGGGTTGAGGGCTTGGAACTAGTGTCATCGGTTACAGGATAGACTATATCCAAGGCTTCGTCAGCTTCCGAGCTGCAACAAGCAGCAGAGGCGATGCTACGAGAAAGTGGAGGTGTTGGGTCAAATCTGACACATAGAATTGCCAAAGCTGGCAACTACGGCAAGCACAAACAGAACGTGCAGAGAGACATCGGCAGAGCTCTCGATCTCCCTGTAGACCCTTGGATGTAGCTATTAATCTAATTTGAACTGAATTGGTCGATCTAAATCCGAAACAGAACCCTCAACCCTAGCCTACCCTAACCCAAAACCCTTGAACTCCTAAACCTCTAAGCCTATTAAATACTCAGCCTGAAAACTCCTAAGCACCGAAACTCAATCCCTATGCTATAGCTTTTTTATCCCCAAACCCCTAAATGCCTAAAATCGAAGCCTCTATTCAGCCTCTATTCTTAATAATAATAATAATAATCATAATATATATATATATATATATATGTATATATATATATATATATATATATATATATTATCTACTATCCCTAAACCCCAAAACCAAACAACATCTTTAATCACGGAGACTTATGCACAGCTGAGGATTTGCATTGGGTAACGGTGCCATGCAAAGATGCAACTGACAGACGCACTGAAACAACGATGCAGTTGCCAATCATTCTGCCTCATGAGCTTTATCAGTTTTTGGTGGACGCTCAGCTTAAATTCAGCTATCCCCGAACCCCGTGCCATAACTGGATTGCCCTGATTGGATTAGTACAATTGCAATAAAGACACCGAACTCCCAACAACCCCCAATGCCTTTTATATATACATATGTACTAAAACAAGTATCCCCACCAGCAGGGTTTACCTCACAGCCCCAACCTTGTCGCCCGCAAGGAAACCAAGCGCATCACCGTCGACCCCGAAGAAATCAAAGAGTACTGGTCACGATTGACGGCGGCGCTGGGGCGAGCTCCTGTTGGAGCTGCTGAAGGAGCGGTTCCATTGGGATGGTGGGGGGACGATGCACGCTACAACAAGCAGAATGACAAAATTACTTTATTCACGATGAATGTGCTCCATCACACTCCACAACGATTCTAGCTACAGCTGATCAATTTGTTTATTTTTCTTATTAATTAATCTATATGTTGAGGGATTTGGTCTGGGCTGTAGATAGGATACGATATCCGATCCGACCAGCAGGTGGGCAAATGAAACGCTACCCGATAATGACGATCAGAGAATGGATTTCATTCGGCCTACGGACTTGGGCCCCTGCGCTGAAGGTGATTGCATGGAGCTTCAACGTAGCTTGGTCGAATATCATAGCTTCTAGCTGAATCCCTACACCGGTTTAAATAATATATACAGTGACCGCCCCTGCAGATTCTTGCATCGGGTGTCAACCCCACTGTCGGCATCGACGGGAGTGCACTGAGAGGAACTATGGCCAAGCGGGCGGGGACACCTGTTAAAGGACCTGCTTCGAGAGTACATTCCTTGTCGTTATATACAGTTAACTATATACTATTTTTTGTAGATTATATTATATATGTATATATATATATATATATGTATAATATTACTTTATTACATCACACACTGTTTTCGTCAGGACAGAGAGCAATGCTCTGTGAGTTTCGTGGCGATTGGAAGCATCATTTTGAGCATTTTGCTCTGACGGCGTCTTACAAATCCAACAAGCTCTGTCATATTTGCGTTGCAAACAAGCTTGGGCCCCAATCGTTTCATGTCTACACTACAGTACATCTCTTTTTATTTGGTCGCACAAACTCTAGATATCTATAGGCTTGGGCACAATATATATTACACGATCATCTGAGGTATGCTGTCGACTTGACCAGGGAATACGAAAGAAGGAGCTCCGAGGATGTGTTGCAGAATTGTATGGTGCAGCCGCTTCGCAATCCTTTTACAACAGACCTTGTGGACTTCCAGGCGTATCAAATACGGCCCTGTGCCATGCATGTGGTCAACCTTGGGGTGTTACAGAGCCACAACGGCTCCACCATGGAGTTGCTTCTGAATCGCAATTTTTTTGGTGCGCCTGATAATCTTGCGGATGCACTACAGAATTGTACAACTCGCTTCAAGCGATATGCTGCTACACATCGCATCACGCACTCCGTCTTTGTCAATGCGGGCATTATGGGAAATATATCTGGATACCCCAATCTGGCCTTGAAGGCGTGGAATGGTCGGGTGTTTCTGTCATTCTTGGCTGTGTGTCTTCGTGCAGTCGTCGCTTCTTCGAATTCGGACCCACCCGACCTCGAGATCAGCCTTGCGGAACAAGCGACGCGAAGCCTTCTTGCTTGGTTTCAGATACAAGAGAGATCGCCCCGCCGCTCGATGAGCCCTGGTGACGCTCGCAGCTTGTTGGAAACCACGGATGTATTCTTGAGGCTTACATCTGGACTTGCCAAGCTGGCTATGCGAAAGGGGGCGCTACGCTGGAAGCTGCTTCCCAAACATCATGTGCCCAAGCCGTACATTAATATTGTTTTTTCTTATTATAATATATAAATATATATATATATACTGTTTTCATATATATATATATATATACTAAACCCCATAATAGCTTGGAATCCGGTTTAAGGCCAAATAGAGCTGGGATTCCCCAGACTAGATGCTCAGTTTCAAACTTTTGGGCTTCACTGTGTCCCTGCTGCCTAGATGATGAGACATTTGGGCGAAGATGCGGTTCTCTACGGCTTAAATCCCCGAGCGACTCACACCTACCTCGACGAGGACTGTATAGGCCAATGGAAACTGTTATGTGTACATTCACCATGCACCTTACACTGCAGTTAAGTTTATGGTCATAGTAAAAGATAATATAATAAGTATAATCTAGTACTGTTTGGTATACGCTACAAGAGCCAAGGCAGTATGATGGAGCTACGACTTATGTCGCGATATTTACTGCGAATGGGCGCTACAACAACTGCTTGAGCCCTGGTGGTCCTGCACAGCGCGAGCGTCGAGTCGCATTGCCGCCACAAAGCTGCTGTGCTCTGGGGGTTTAGGGCTTTTGGGGCTTTAAGGGTCAAGGGTTTGGGGTTTCTGCCTCTTTGGGGGTTTTAGGGGCTTTATCTAGGCAGTGTAAATCTAGTGGTAGAGTTCTTCGAAGCGTTTTCGGAGTATAAGGATTATGTGGCCTTTAGGGTTTACGGTCTAGGGTACTGTATACATTGGGTACGGCCTCCACTCAGTAATAGTGGAATATAATATTCATAATATAGCCCTATATTATAGACTCTTACTGTATGGGGGCCGTACCTAATGTATACAGGGTTATTGGGTTTCAGGCTCCTGCAAGCGAAGTGTCCGAAGTGTCTACTGAACAACACGATTTGATTGAACGATTGAGCCAAGAAACATTAGGGGAATGGGTTTACAGGTCTTATATCACCGAAACCCTGAACCTGAGACCCCGAATCACAGCCCAATGCAGACAGATCGGGCCTGAAGCTTGAGGGTTTCAGGGTTATGGTCGAAGGGGTTTAAGATATACACCCTAAACTTAAGCTTTGCCCCTAAGCCCTAAACCCCAGACCGTATAAACCCTAAACCCTACAACCCTACGACCCTACGACCCCTACACCAAGTACGGGCCTCAGAGTCTACCACACAATCCACGAACCTTTTGCTAACCCGGTGGGCCAAGGATTTCGGTGCTGCATGCAAAAATCTGCACATTATGTGTAGACTTCATAATTAATCGAATTTGGCAGCATTAGCAGTAAGTCCAGCATCCGGCAGTCGACGTCAGCTAGCACGCACATCCACTTTGGCCATTCGATGTTCTTCGATTTCACTGATGACCTTATCAATCTCCAAGCCGAGCTCGCGTGCTGACTCCCACGCTTAGGATCTAGGCACAAATAAACCAAACATTAATTTAAGAGCCCTTAAAACCCAAACAAACTCCCACCGGTCATGAAAAGGCTATGCTATTGCAGCAAAGCATCTGAATCCGCCAACACATCCCGGATTGCGTAAAGCTTGCTCAGTCTGATCTTTCGATGCTTGAGAACATATTTTACGTGGTCAGCAGTGAATCTTTTAGACGTAAGCTTCGTCTCGGCATCGACATCGACAGCGCTTTTCGTCATAGCACTGCTGACTCCCTAATGCGTACACATTAATTAGGCTTTGGGCCACAAACCGCTGTGATTGATCCAGATCAAAGCCACTCATTGTATCGGCTCCGGTCTGTGAGAAGCCATCCTGAACCCTCTCCCAAATCACGATTTCTATGGTTTTCCATGGTTTCTGTATGTATCCGTTTTTCGCATACGCAAGGCCAAAATCCATAAATGTAGCCTTCAGCGGCAACGTACGCGAATGTAGGCAAATAGCGCCGACATTGGAGCATCAGGGTAAGTATTCACCGGCCAATAAAACCCACATAGTGATGCAATTATAGGGGCTGGCAGAGCTTGCAGCGGTTTTCGTAACACCGTCACCGACAGAGAAGGAATCACATCACTTCGGAAGTACAGATTAGGTAGCTTGTTTGGAAATCCCCAATCCCAACATCGCCGACCTTACCGAGCAAAGCCAGTGCCTTCTCCTCTGCGAGGCGTTTTAATGGACTGCACTAGGTGTTTCTTTATCCATAGCAAAAAGGCTTTGGGCTCTGTAAGTAAATGCTAACCCTAAACATTGTGCAAGGTTAGCCTTTACCGCAGCTGCCGTTTCATGGCAGGCCTACCATCGGGCAGGTGTTGTTTTTTTAGGGTCATGGTTTTCGGGTGGTTATCAGGTTTCGATTCCGGTTTTAAGGTAAAGGGATCCGCAAGCAACTCAAAGTTTTGAGCATCACCAGTATCGGTTAGTGTGGCACTCCATTATGTGAAGGACCTACTCATCTACGGTTAATATTGAACTGTCTAGTGAAGCCTGCTTTCAGTTTGGGGCACACAAAATTACGACGTACTGCGTTATGCCCTTCTGCACATCCACTCTCCCCTGTATCATGTGAACCTGCGTGAAACTCGCCCTGGACCCTAAACCTACTTGAACTTCACCCTTTGAACCTAGACCCTAAACTCCATGCAATTGAATCCACGTTGAATTGCACTCCCACTCTACATTCAGGATGTAGTCCGTTCTGCATCGGAGGTTCACTCTTAGGACTGCATGAGGATTCGGGTCTAGGGTTTACAGTTAGTTTATTAAGAACCTTCGGATCTCTGTGTTTAGAAATGGCTTGGACAGCTGCAGCATACCCGCAACCGCATGAACCCTCCCCCCCCATCTTATACAGTTCTGAACCTAGGTAGCTCAGGGTCTAGGGTTTAGTGCAGTTCCTTTTGGTTTTGTAAGTGGGTCTAAACAGGAATCACCCAACCTCTGACAAGCGGAACCCTAAACCAGGCGTGTAATTGCGCTTCAACACTTTACAGAGCTCAAAGTTCAGAGTTAAATGGATCCAGACCCTGAATTCTAGTACCTCGTTGGGGGTTTCATTTGGAGAGCTTGTTCATGGTCAAGATATTACCTATTGGCTGTAAACTCAACTTTTCAACTATTGGGTTTCTTATAAGGTAGTCGATTCTTAAAGTTTCAGCTTTTATTCCCTTGGCTCATGGTCAGGCTAGTAAAAGTATTGCAGGCACATAGCTTTCGAGGATCTCCGGATTGACTGTCGGCACCCTAAACCCTAGATCCTAAGGTTCAGGATTTAGGGTTTAGAGCATCGTATCAAAATCTATCGTCCCGAAGCTGTTTATACTGTTCTCTGGGCCTCACGCCTTCAACCATATATACTTATAGTATATACCTTATATACCTAACTGAATATCGAAACCTGAAATGACCCTAAACTATTCGAATTGGAGCCTCTGGATCGTACGCTGCGTTGACATGGACTGGCTTCCTCCAAAGTGTGATTCGGGTTTCGAGTTTAGGGTTGAGGTGGACATCCCTATGCCGGAAAGTGCTACCTATAAACCCTAAACCCCAAACCCTTCTGTGAGGTTCATACTTCAGAACGGAACCCCAGGCAGGGGCCAATCCGACATCCCCAAGCCTCGAAGTGCGCTCAGATGCAACGTTGCAAAGCCTACTTGGAGGTTCATGGGTAGTTATAAGGGTTCCTTTAAGGGTCCCCTGAAAGGGATCTATAGGGATTCTGTAAGGGTATGGGGCTAAGAGTCTACTTGGAGGTTCATGGGTAGTTATACGTGGGGTTATAAGTCCCCCAATATAGGTTATAACCATAATAGCTATCCTACTTATAACCCTATACTTCTAGCTACCCATGAACCTCTAAGTACACCCTCAAGCCGAAACCCCTTACATCCCACGTCAGGAGGCAGCCGGTCGGCCAATTGAGACGAAACCCGCAGCTCCTAAACCCTAAACCCTAAGCCCCGAATCCCTAAATCCGAAAGTTCCAAACTTTGAACTCCTGAACTCCGAATCTCCCAGCACTGCTCATTGAGGTTTACTCTAAAAACCGCCTTGTGGAATATGGTCGTTAGGCCCAAAAGCCTGAAATTATGTGTCCTTAGAGCCTTTGGGTTAGGGTTCAGAACGTGTCATCGATAACTACCAGTCGGGGGTAGGGGTAGGTGTAGAGCTGGTGGACACTCCACTACCCGACATCCCAAACCGCCACCGCGTTGTTGCAGGGCAACAAGGAGGTACAAGAAGATCGGTGCGACTTGGGTAGGGCCAGGGGCGGGTCTGCAAGGGGCAAGGATGCAGTGTGAGGGCTTGGGGGGACCTAATGTTTAGGTCTTCGGTGTTGGCGTTTCTTGTTCTTGTTGTTGTTGTTCTTGTTGTTGCTGTTGTTCTTGCTGTCGATGTTGCTGCTTTTGGTTCGTTGTTGCTTCTCTTGTGAAAAGGGGCACACGCAGCCTTGAAGGCTTGGGCTTAGAGCCGTTAGGAAGGTTGGGGTTCCTTTGTACCACGATGCGACAAGATCTCAGACCTATCTGTCTGATAAGGGCTTCTTCTATACTGGGTCCCGTCGTCTCTGCCGACTTTGCTTCAAATGTTAGGAACACGTGAAGCCAGAATGCATCTCATCCCTAGACCTAGTGACCATCAGCATCCCAGTAACCCATGATGCCAAATCCCAGACTCTACATCGTCAGTGCTAGCTTGAATCAAAGAAGTCGCACCTCTTAGCCCCACTACCCTCAGCACTACTGCCACCATCCTCACCCCCAAGCTCCGAAACCCCGAACCCTTCCCACTGCTATGAGTATCACCGCATAAAGCGTTCATCCATCTACCGAACACACCCATGCGTTTCGTCTGGGTCTTCGCCGCAGCATATGGGTCTGCCGCATGGGCCGAGGCAGGCAGTGCTTGGGCTGTACTTAAAGGATCATGGGACTTAGTAACTAGGGTTACAATTAGGGTAGCGCTGCTTATAACTACTTACAACCCCAATTATAAGGTACTTATAACCTTACTAAGTCCCACGATCCTCCAAGTAGGCTTGCACATTGTGGTACTTCGTGGTAGTCCGTCAACGGGTTCTGGAAACAGTTGTAGAAATTCAGGAACAAAGCACGTCACAAGCTTGTACATAGCATGCATGAGTCATGCGTGCTATGTACAAGTTTGTGTTTTTTTCTGTAAATACGTATGTACACATATGTATACTTCATAATTGTGCATCTAGATATTGCATCTGTGCTTGCGTATGTATGTATGTATGTATGTATGTTTGTTTGTATGTATGTATGTATGTATGTGTGTATGTATGTATGTATGTATGCATGTATGCATGTATGTATGTATGTATGTGTATGTAAGTATGTGTGTTTGTATGTATGTATGTGTGTGTATGTATGTATGTATGTATGTATGTATGTATGTGTATGTGTATGTATGTATGTATGTATGTATGTATGTATGTATGTACGCATGTATGCATGTACACAGGCATGTATGCATGTGTGTATTTATGTATGCATGTACATTTACACCATATATATATATATATATACACATACATAGACATATACATATACATATACATAAACATATACATATACATATATATATATATATACATATACATATACATATACATATACATATACATATACATATACATATACATATACATATGCATATACATATACATATACATATACATATATATGTATATGTACATGTACATGTACATGTACATGTACATACATACGTACACATACACATACATATATGTATATGTACATATACACATGTAGTGCATGCATGCATGCATGCATGCATGTATGTATGTATGCATGCATGTATACCTGTACGCATGTATGCATGCATGGATGTATGCATGCATGGATGTATGTATGTCAAGTTTAGGGGCAGATGGGTAAATGCCTACTGTGCACCTTTCCACCCTTCTCAGGGCTGGACACGGGGTGAGCACGCGGACTGCGTGGCGCAGTTCCCCGACTGTCGCATGTTCGCAATTAATTAAGCATGTGGATGTTGAGGGGTAGTGACGGGTAGTGCCTAAGCCCCAAGCCCAAAACCCCAAGCCCTAAGTTAGACAATGCTTTAAACCCTAAATTGAACCCTGGCTTCAAACTTTGTAACTTGAAAATCTACAGAACCTTGAACCTTATATGAACACTAAGCCCTAAACTACACCTGCAACCCTAAGCCCGAAACCCGAGAAATACGCATGGCCCTCAGTGGTGCGTGGCCGCTGTGGACGTTGAGACCCCACTCCTCCAGGCGCCGCTGTTGAAAAGAAAAGAACCCAGAGAGCCCATTAGCCCTTAATTAAGGAATATGGCTTAAATTATACAGGGCTTCATATTACGATGTAAGCTATATTCCTGAATTAAGGGTATTGGGCTCTCTGGGAAAAGCAGCGGCAAGATAAAACTCATGTTGCTCAAGGTTCCTCAATTTGTTCGCTCGAGGTGCATTACTTGATTTGGGTTCTGGCTGATCAATACGGCCCCGTACGGCCTTAGTGTGTTTCCGAAGAGGTCGAGCCACCGAAACAAGGTCACCCAAAATTGGCCCTGATAAAGAGCCCCTTGCCCAAAGGGTCCAAAGTACCGATATAGTAGAATGTAGGGTTTCTATATTAGGAATTACTATTATGATTTTGGGAAGTAGTCCCCATAACAGTACATAGGACCCTTTGGGTTGATCTTGAGGCATTGATGCCATCGTCGCCCAGGGACAGCCCGAGGCACTCTTGACATGACTCCGGGTTCTGGTTGGGGTTCAAGGAAGCATTAGGGTTTAGGGTTTAGGGTTTTACCCGAAAATGCAGGCGGAGAAGGTATTGGCAGCATTCCCATCGAATTCCAGTCCCTGACAATTGAGGCTTGAGGGCCTTGTTGGGATCAATAAGCGTGTGAGGGTTTCGGGATGTTTCGGGTTCAGGGTCCAAGGCTTACGGGTCAGTGTTTTAGGGTTTAGGGATTTCTGTTGCCAGAGTCTAGAGTTAGGCGTAGCACTTAGGGTTTAGGGTAATTTTCTTGTCGGGGTGTGCGGTTTGGGACCTGAGGTCAGGAATTTACACAACCAGATTCCAGCGTTTAGGCTTCAGGGTATCCTAGAAGATCCATGCGCTGCAGCTCCAGCACCCTAGACCCTAAGTGGCGCCGAGAAGTCCACACATCGCATTCCACCCGATTCGTTCTGAATCCTCTAGACCGCCTCTCATAGCCTTATAGTGGGTAGTCCAAGGCGGTTTAGGAGAAAAGGCGAGGTTCAAGTTTAGGTTCATGGTTTAGGATGTCGTCTAGCGGGTGCAAATATGAATACAAGGGTGACGCGGTGACGCATGATTGTGTAGTTTTCGTGAACTCTAAACCCTAAGCCCTGAACCCTATTCTGGTACAGGCTCGTAAAGCAGACCCGTGTAGATCGTAAAGCCTGAAAACCCTCGAATCTCAAAGCTTCCTTTTTTTTTAGGAGGCCAAAAGGGGTTTTAGCCTATGGGGGTTTAGTACGCGTCATAGGGATCATATTAAGGAATCCCTACCTCGAGAATCTTAAACCCCCCCTTTGGCCTCCCATCCTTTTTGTCAGGAGGCGGTGGCCTACGGAATCCTGCAGGCGCGGTGCTTGAGTTCCTTGTTCTGGACCTTTACCCATACTTGGAGGTTCATGGGTTGTTATAAGGGTTCCTTTAAGGGTCTCTTTAAGGGGATCTGTAGGGATTCTATAAGGGTTTGGGGTTTAGGGTCTACTTGGAGGTTCATGGGTAGTTCTAAGTGGGGTTATAAGTCCCGTACAGGTGGTTATGACCATAGTTATCCTACTTTCCACCCTACCTTTAACTACCCGTGAACCTCCAAGTAGGCTTCATAGTAGTTCCTTTTTGGGGCTTCCTATCTAGACTCTAGACTCCTATAAGGTAGCCCCCCAAAAAAGGAAGTACTATGAAGTCTATATGGCTACAGTGAGCGCCAGAAAGTTTTAACATGAAGTAAGGATTCAGGATGATTAGAGCAGCGAGGCCCCATACTTCACTCTAAGGGCATAAGGATAATGATGTCTGGCTCCTACGTTAGAGCAGCTCGTATGATACATGAGGGGGCTTGTTTGGATTACGGTTGACGATTGAATCTGCGGTACAAAAACGCCACTGCCATAGCTATAAACAGCGTACTCTTACAATGGAGTGAATTAAGGAACCCCCGACCCGTGCGAGTGCGGCCGGAAATCCTGCGATAGTCTTGGAGTGTTGCTGGCTGAGGGGACAAGGGTCTTGATCTTCATTGCCGTTCGGAGGATTCTTATTACAAGCACCCTTAACCTCCAGATCGGCACCTAATGGCCCTAATAAGCAGGAACCTCCACACCCCAACACCTAAACCCTTAACCCGCATATGCCATGGGCATGCAGCGCATGAACCCCAAACACTTGCCGGCCTGGCCGTAATCGGAACATGCTCATCATTGCTCGCTCAGCCTTGCTTGAACCTGTTTCGCAAGTATGATGGAGGAACGGGTGAGCCGTTTCTTTGTGTTTCAACAAGTAAAGGGTGGGTCGCTCTGTTTGTCTGTGTGTGTCTGTCTCATGCGAGGGGCACACGGAAGATGTACTCGGTCTGGTTGTTCGTCTACTAGGTGCAGAGCTGCATGCTTATTGGTGTCTGCGCAGTCCTGGCTGGCTTCACTTTACCTCGATGGAGAAGGTGGGCGATTCACGGCAAGATGTCCATGCCGTGTTTTCGTTGGAAGAGGGCTAGTGACGGCTAGTGGTCAGGTGGCATGAAAGCAAAGCTGAAGCCGAAGCTGCACACCCGTATGAGCCCTAAACCGTGTAAGCCCTAAACCAGACTCTAAGTCTCTATTGCGAGGAGTGGGGTTGATGCGATGGGTATATCGGCGCATTCCTGCTTGTGCCTGGTTCCGATCTTCTCCGTTCTCCTTCCGGGACCCACAGAGGCAGTTGAATGTAGAAGGTATACGGTATCCATATTTCCGCGTCTCTCCTAAACTGACTCTTCTAGGGTTTGCCTAAACCCCGAACCCTGACCTACGGTCTTCGATCGAGTCTTCGTCCGTATGGCCTTGTTTGTGTTGTGGTTTAAAAGGCTCAGAACCGTATCAACCCCCCACAAGATATTATGCATGACCTGCAGTGAACACATGAAGGTCCTCAGCTGGTCTTCAGGGCCCAGTAAGCTTCTGCAGGATCCAAGGTTCGGTCAAGAATTCTGCAATGCGTGTTCATAGCCTTGTCGTGATTCTTATTCTTAGCACGGTGGTTGTTATTCAGGAGTTTCGAATCGTTTTCATATTACGAATCTAATATAATCCTATGATCACTGCTAGCGGTGCTGATCTATGCTGTTATCATTGTCAATGTCGTGATTACTATCACATCATATATGGACTTTACGGTTTAGGGTTTAGTACCAGGCTAAGCCCTGAACTTCTAAACCCAAGAACCCTTAAGCCCCAAACCCTGAACCCGAAGCAAACACAAGAACCCGAAACCCCCAAACCTCTAAGCCCTAATGAAACCCTACACCCGATCCTGAGCCGCTAAGCCCCAAACCCTAAACCCGAAACACATGAGCCTCTAAACCCTAAGATGCCAATCTTGCAGGCGGGGCTCCTTCTTTGGCGGAAGATCGGGATCTCCGGAAGGCTGCAACCTCAAGCTTCATAGCTGGATTGGGGTTCCGTTTAAGGATTCAATCAAGGGGCTCGATGATCGAGCTCTAGAAATCCCTGAATTCGAATAGGTTCTCAGGTCATTATATAAAAACATTGTGGTGGCAGGTACTTCACGATACTACTACAATCAGGAACCCGAAGGAATCAGACTTGAACGTGCAGCTGCGGGCAGGCACATGTTCACGGTCCAGCAAGCGGCATTATCATGAAAGAGTTTGTGCAGTTGTAACCACATTGTAACCCCCTCGGGAGGTGTAGATTTGGGATCCAACAAAGCTTCACCCGAAATTCTAAACCGCAGACCCTAAACCATAGCTGAGCCCTGCCATCGCAGCCACCTCAAAAGCCCCAGAGAGCCCAACACCCCTTAATTAAGGAATATAGCTTAAATAACAATATGAAGCCCTGTATAATTTAAGCCATATTCCTTAATCAAGGGATACTGGAGCCCCGTAAACCCTAAACCCTATAGATCCCTTAACGGAACCCTGAAGGATCCCTTTAAAGGAGCCCCCGGTATATTCCTTAATTAAGGGGATTAAGGGCTCTCTGGGGCCGTCGGATCAGGGCACGCTGCAGCACCTCTTGCGACTGGCTGTGGCATGACTGCAGACCAAAGCACAAACTCGATTGCTTGAAGGGTCGACATATGGGAGTTTCCGAAATTAGGGGTACCTGTTTGGGGAGGAAGGATCCTGCTATTTAGGGTACTATATTAGGGTCCCCAATTTTCGGAAACTCCCATGTCGGTTTAACGTGTTTAGGGCGCGGTTGAGGGTTGTTCGGATTTGGTGGTTTTTGAGTGTTTGGCGTCTACGTGTTAGGGACTCGGGGTTGAGAGGTTCAGGGTTCAGGTTTAGCCATTCATCGTTTAGAGCATCGCGTTTAAAAGCCCTAAGCCCTGGTTTCAGGTTGCTGTGTAGCCTGGGGCCACTGTTTTGGTGCACACCTCAAGGAGGTAGGTGCTGGACCTGCTGGCAAGCGGAGAAAGGGCCACTGCATCTTGAAAAAAAACCCCGAACTCTAAACCCCCAAACTATCTAAACCGCAAACTTCTCGGCTTTTAAGATTTTGCACCGCGGGATGGCTTGGGGCTTGGGGTGTGAAGCTTGCTGGGAGTGTCCGCCCTTCCTAAGCCCGGGTGGTATTCGGGACCCCCCTCAAAGGGGATAGTCGAGAGGGCTTATATCAAACCCTAAACCCTAAACCTCTCAACCCTCAACCCTGTCTATATCCCCAACCCCCAGCTCCACACACACACACACACACACACACACACACACACAAAAAGCTAAACTTTGCAGCGATGACATAATCACGCCTGAACACCTTGAGCAATCTGGGGTCCAGGTACACCCAGAACCACAAATCATGGTCAGGTAGGCCCTTGATCAAGAGTCAGTTTCCAAGTTAGTAATTCAGGGGTCATAACAAGGATCCAGCAGACAGGCCCTGAAAGAAAAACGGATTGGTTAATCGGGGGCTCAAAATTAACCCGCACAGTCCTCTCTAATCAATCATACGCCCTCGCGGCTTTGGTGTTGGTAGCTTTTGCGGATGTGGCTGGATTTCGGCGAGGAATCAATTGACTTCTGAGCAATTTTGCCAGCGCGACTTATACCGCTTTTGCAGCTGGTGGCATGCGTGGGCACGCAGGTCTTGCTCTACCACCTGGCCATCCGACGCACCGGCTGCACCAAATCCAAACTCGTCTTGCGCCGGGCCATGGGCACCTCGTCTGGGTGAAGTCCCTTCAGATGAACGGGGCTCAATGGTAACTACTTCCAAGGAAGGCCTGTCGCGACGGCGACATTCTGTTCGTTCTGTACGCTCACTGGCCCTGCCATGCAATCCTGTTGGCGTCCCGGAAGCTGTCTAAGACCAGCTCTTCCTTGGGCTTGAGCTTGTGGCCACTCTACCGTGGTCAGGCTGCGGCCATGGCCTTGTGGCCGAGAAGCCCCAGGATATCCGTCGGCCGGCTTTGAAGCGAAGTCCCTTAACCCCTCAGCCCCCAACCCTAAACCCCAAAACCCGTAGATCCATTATAAGCCCTATATGCCCTAAAACCCAAAACCCTTAACCCCTTCGCAAACCCCCCAAAACGTACACCCCCAAACCCTGAACCCTTAAACTTTCAATCCCTAAGCCCGAAACCGCTAAACCCCGATTCCCTAAATCCCTAAACCCTATAAGCCGTTTTAGGGTTTAGGGTTTCTAAGCCCTAAGCCAAGGTCATCGCCGAATCTCGTTCTGGTCTGGCCTTGGCGGAAGCTTGGCGAAACACGGGGAACAAGACAACGGACGATAGGCGTAGGTTTAGGATTTAGGCGTTAGGGTTTAGAGTTTACCCTAAGGCCCCAAAGTAGTTCCTTTTTGGGGTTCATATATAGAAAAAGGAACTACTTTGGGGCCTTAGGGTTTAGGCTCCCCGCTGCAAAGTAAGAAAACTGTTTAGGCCTCTGGGTCCGGTTTCTCGGGCTTTTGGGGTTCAGGGGCTTCCGGTTGGCAGGTTTAGACCCTCGGTCGCCCCCCCCCTAGCCTAAGATATGACTTCAAGCAGCGGCGGAGAGGCTAAAGTCACAGGCTTGAGCTTCAGAAGTCCTTCAACCCTAAGCTAGCGGTAAGTCAGAGTCCTGAAAGATTTTAGAGAGGGCAGCGTTTTGTGGTGTCATAATGTCGTGATGCACATACAAATCGATTAGTGTCTTACACTAAACTCGAAACATTAAAACCCGAACCCAAAAGCCTAAGCCGCGAAACTTTGAACTTGTTTCTGTGCTGGGGCCGTCTTAGGGACCGGGTTGTAACCTGTCAGTTCTCCTTGCACAGTATTCTTATTTTTAAGGCCCCCATACTATAGAACCCTACTGTAGATGTTTTGTAGTAGCCCTTATAGACCCCTTTAAAGGGAACAGGTACTCCAATGCTACAGAAGTTGAGGTTTCGGTTGTGTTGTTGATTCTGCTGACTTATTTTAGCGGCTGGGGTCGGCTTGGCTCTTGAAAACTTCAAATCCCGCAAAACCTTAAGCCCCAAACCGTACAGTGCTCTGCGGCTTTGCGATGGAGTGGCTTTGACCGAGCCAAGGTTGCACAGATGCTTGTGAGCTTCTTCTGGCCCTGTCCTTAGAACTTGACGGCTACTACTAAATCTTGGCTGTTATTGCGACTCTTACTGATATTCTTAATATAAATTGCTACTACTACTACTGCTGCTGCTACTACTACTACTGCTACTACTACTACTACTACTACTGCTGCTGCTACTACTACGACTACTACTACTACTACTACTACTACTACTACTACTACTACTACTACTACTACTACTACTACTACTACTACTACTATCATGGATATCATCGTTTCAGGATTGCCCAGAAAAAAAGGTTCCAGGTACTCTTCCAAACTGCAGCAGTATTGGTAGTGGTAGTGGTAGTGGCAGCAGCAGAATTTGTACTTGCAGCAGCAGCAGCAGCAGCAGCAGCAGCAGCAGCAGCTGTTGCTTGCTTTGTTCGTTCGTGCTCTATAGGTGGTCGTGCGAGGACCCCAATTCAAAGATCCTGCTTGCAACCCCTATCAAAACATAGCCTGATAGCCGACGATGTACGGGTTGCTGCAAGTACCTTCTTGGATGTGGATGCCTCTAGCAAACTGGATTTCAAGCCTAACGCCCGCAGACACCCTATCAGAAAGGCTTTATCCGCTTGCACGTCAAGGCATTGAATCCTCGACTCAAAGAACTTGGTCCATGCAAAACCATGTTTAAGCAACAAGACTCCGGGTCGGCGGGTGCATGTAAGCCGTGGCAAGGGCCCTGTTCGATATTTGAACCGTTGAGTTGTCCTATCCTTACATCCTGGCCACCCGACCTTTCGTTTGAAGCGTAAGCTCTTCAGGTTCGACCTACACCCTGACCATCCCTAAACTCTAGCCTAAACCCTAAACCTCCCTAAACCCTCGACCTTAAACCCTAAACATCCCTAAACCCCTCTAACCTAAACCCAAAACCTCCCTAAACCCTCTAACTTAAACCCTAAGCACCCCTAAACCCTCTACCCTCTAACCTAAACCTCCCTCAACCCTCTAACCTAAACCCTAAACCTTCTACCCTCTAACCTAAACCCTGATTACGAGGTGGGGTGGCGCCACGGATGCCGATGTGACGCCGGGCCCCAGTGCCTCGCAGAGTATCGATACCGATTCGGCTATGGTTCTACTAGGGTTAAGGGTTTAGAGTTTAGGGTTTAGAGTTTAGGGTCTAGGGTTCAGGGTTTAGGGTTTAGGGTTCAGGGGTTAGGGTTTAGGGTCGTAATAGGACCAGACAGACAGTTTTATTGTGGGCGAAGTTTGTTTAAATTCTCTTGGAGTATGTGCTCAGACAGAAGGCCTGTATCCTAAACTTAGGGTTTAGGGTGTTGGGTTTAGGGTTTAGGCAAAGGCGACTCTTGACGAGGAGCAGCTGAACCGATCCGAGGTTGGGTCGAGCCATATGAGACAGCAACGTGCGAATGTGAAGTCACAACCAGGACCCCCCCCAGTGACCCTTTAATAGAGCCCGTACGGTCCTTCATAGTGGATATTTGGGGGGTATAATAGAGGGTACTAGTTACGTGTAGGAGCATAAAAAAGATCGACCCCACCCCCCAAAACCTAAAACTGAAAGGCCTTCCTCAAGCCGATGACCTGAACCTGAACCTGAAGACCTCAGCCCACAGCTTACATTGAACCTTAAACCCTGAACCCCTAAACCCTTAACTGTAAACCCTAAACCCTGAACCCTAAACCCTAAGCCCTAAACAGTAAAGCCTAAACCCTGAACCCTATACCCTAAACCCTAAACCCACATTACATGGCATCCCAAGGTCCCGAAATAGCCTCGGCGGCGTTGCGCCTCCAGCAACTGGCTGTGGCGCATGCAGGCAGGTTAAAGCTGGGGTTCTCGCGTTGCCGTTGTTACGTTATTCTGGGGGTGTGGGAGTGCGCGAGTGCAGGTCGGGTCAAAGCTACGAGTTAAGGCTACCCAAAGGGTCCTAAGTACCTTTGTAATCGAATGTAGGTTTCTATACTACTGTAGGAGATACTATTATGATTTGGGAAAGTATCCCCCACCATATAGTACCTAGGACCCTTTGGGCCATAAGGTCAAGTATTATCGGATCCGAAGCTTCGGTGGTTTGGGGTTCCGCGGTTGTACGGTGCTGGGCTTACAGCTTCCAGGATTTGTGCAACCCCTATACCCTAAACCCTAAACCCATAACCCTGAACCGTAAACCCTTAACCCTAAACCCCTCACCCTCAACTAACAGTGTGAATTCGAAGTTGGGCCAGAGGCTGCTATGCCGCCTCCACGCCCAGGGACGACTTTCTCAAGAGGTTGGCCGCCTAAGTTGCAGGGCATCGGACAGCCCCCGAGCCTAAGGAAGGTGTGGGTGGCTTTATGCGTTGGAATCTAAACGCCACGGTTGGCACTGCCACTCCATGCATCATTTTGCACCCGAAGCCGGGCACATACTCCAAGGATTGCCGTAAGAAGAACTATAAGTCTAGCCCTTGATATTCGTAGCTTTGAACCCAATACACTTTAACCCTAAACTCCGCAACTGTTTGGATTCAGGACCCACCCTGAGCCCGAGGTTCTAAGCAGCCCGAAGTAGGGTTTAGGGTTCAACTCTACATTGCACTGGCATGCAGATCGTTCCCGAGACCCGAACCTGAAGCATTAGACAGATGCTCAGATGAGATCGAATCTTGCCGCGGAATTCCCTTGAATCCAACGGCCGCATTTCGATTGTCTATCGATCTTTTGGGCGTGCCCAGAACACCGCCAGACTAATTACATGCGTCGATGCCGCTGACTCCTGTCTTGCATGTGCAATCGAGGGACACCGGGAATGACTGGTTTTGATGTGTTGAAATGCCACGGGCGCATCTCGAGTGGGTGGGTGCTTGCGGAATCCAGCTCTGTTCATGCTCTTCGCTTGTGTAGCCTCTCGCGAACTCAAGTCAACGCAGCAGTCCGCTTCGCCTCCCCTCCCCAGCTCTCGCCATGCAGCTGCCAGAGACACAACGGGAGCTCGGCAAACTTGGAGAGTGCGGGGACACGGAGGGCTGCCTCTGCAGTCAGTGCTGCCGCTCCCTGCCCCCCGTCTCGCCGAAGCAGGTGCGGCACGCAAGCAGTCAAAGAAAGCTGCTCACAAGCCATTCTTCTCCGCAGGCCTTCCACGTAGTCGTGCAGGCTGCGCAGACCAACATGGAGCAGTGGAAGGAGAAGCCTCCGAGCCCCAAGGCCGCCAACCGGCGACAGCTCTGCCTCTTTTGAACTGAAACGGAACAAGTGACAGGAGCTCCGCAAGCACGTGGCGAACCTCTGCGGCAAGGCCCCACACGCCTTGTGGGAGCTGACGCCTCGGCTGAATAAGCTACTGGAGTCCATTATGTTGGAGGCCAGTGTTCTGCACGGCATCGAGAGTGCTGCAGTCTGCAGTGAATGTTTTGTTTTGGCCAGGTCCTGCCCATAAAGCAAGCGCGGCTCCTTTACCCTTGGTCGCCGGCCGCTGAGCCTCGCCCGCCCAAGCCTTCCACCAACGCCATGTCCCGCCTCCTCCACATGGACATGGTGATGGCCATGCAGGCCGAGCTCGAATGGGGGGGCGAAAGAATTGAGTGAGTGGGTGTGTTACACGTCCCAGGCCGGCAAAGGGCAAGCGACCAAGAAGGCTGTCGACCCCAACAAGAAGGCACCAGGAGATATATGGTGAGTGCTTCTGTAATAGTGCGATGCAACACGCGCAGGCACTGCGCGACACAAAGAAGGTGGCCAAAAAGGCGGAGGAGGCAGCTAGGCGAGCTCCCGCACACCTCCACGTAGATGTTGCTTGATGTATATGTTTGCGCGAACAGGAAGAAAGACAAGAAAGCTGCCAGGAAGGAAAAGGCAGAGGCAAGCTTGACGGCGGCACGCGAGCAAGAGCTCAAACGTGCGGAGGAGGCAGGGCCCGAGGTGCCTGAGTTCAGAAAGCGCGGTGATGTGATGTTTCGCAACTGGAACGATGCATGCAGGCGCTCAAGGCTTGGAAGAAGCAGCAAAACGAGAGGACTTGGACGAAGAAAAAAGCTTCGCTCGCAGCACTACGGCAAAAGGAGAAGGAGGACGAACAGGTGCATTCATTCTGAAGCTGCATCGTCGTGTGCACAATGGGAAGCTGACAGGCTGCGCGAAAGCTCCGGGACAAGAGGGCGGCCGACAAAGAGAACGCGGCCAACAGTCGCGCTCGTAAGAAAGGACGACCCTAAGGTTCTGCTTAATTTTAAGTCGTAAAGAACCTTGAATTCTGAACCCAAAGCCCTACAGAACCATACTGTACGAGACTTTTGTGTTACTTGGATCTTCAGCTCCAACCCCAACCCCAAACCCTTAGTGCACAACTCCACAACCCCACCCCCAGACCCTAAACCCTAAGCCCTGGAGCCCTCAACCCTGAAACGAAAACCTAAAACCCTAAACCCTAAACCCCTTATAGGAACCCTTGTAGATCCCTTTAAAGGAACCCTTAGGGATCCTTTCAAAGGGAGCCCCACAGATCTGAATGCCAGGTCCTGCCCCTGGCGGTTGCGCTTTCTTTTGCTCCTGGGTGCCCTCGATCTCAACCTAAGGGTCCATGTACCCCAATAGGGCTCCTGTAAGGGTACCATAAGGGTTCCTTTAAAGGGATTTCGAAGGGATACATAAGGGTTTGGGGTATAAGGATCCATGTACCTAAATAGTAGATACAAAGGCCTTAAAGTACTCCCTATATGGGTACACTGGGCCCAAAGTATATACTATTTGGGTACATGGACCCTTAGGGTCAGTTGGTGTTTCCGAGCAGACACTGGGATTGGAGGGTTTAGGGTTTTAGGGTTTAGGGTTGTTGGCTTTTTTAGGGTTTAGGCTTAGGATTCAGGGTTTTAGGGGCTAGGGCTGAGGGTCAAGGTTTAGGACCTGGGGTTTGGGGGTAAACCCTAAACTCTACAGAGTTGTGTCGGACTTGGGTACATCCCGTCAAGGCCAGAGCCCGATACTCTTCGAAACTTGAAGCCAGAAAAGCAAATAAACTTTCGCCCTATCCCGAACTCCTGAACCCTGAACCCCGAACACCTACACCTAAACTTAAACCCTAACCCGAAACCCGGAACCCTAAACCTAAACCCTCAAACCATAAAGCCGAAAATCTGAAACCCTAAATCCTGAACTAGAAACCTAAAACTTTCCAAAGCTTACGTAACCCTTTCGCAGGTACAGAGCTGGGACAGAAAATGGCCACATCCATGCACGACCTTCGACAGGCCCGAGCTGGGCTTTGCAAGAATTTGTTGTTTTTATTGTCTGCTTGTTAGGGTTCCCTTTCATCTATAGGGGTATTACATGGATATTACAGGGTTTGGGGTTTATAATTAAGGGTCAACCCTAAGCTGAGGGCCCGGAGGACCTTTACAACGTTTGTGTAGAGCACTTCTAGAGCCCTTATAGCACCCTCCCTTGAGGTTTGGTGTAGCATCAGCCCTGGTAGAGCCGTGGAGGCTGCAGAAATGCTGCAGCTGACTCGCCTGCGCTGGCATCGAATTCAGGAGCTACCGTTCTTCCGCCCCCTGGCTGTGCTATCCACCGAGGGGCTTCGGTTTACTCGGCTTTAGGGTTTAGGGTTGAAGCACGCGGATATGGGGTATGCTGCATGTACTGCAGCGCAATGGCCCGCTCTTACAAGTGATCTTGCAAGCAGTAAGTTCAATAGGAGTGGCGTTTCCGACGGGTTGCGTCGGTACCAAGGTGTAGGGTGTAGGGTTTACAGGCATCGCAACGACCGTGAAACAAGAGTGACGGCTGATGGACAATCATACCTGAAGCACCCTGAACCACGGAAAACTTTGTTCTATTCTGCATTCTGAAGATGTTCGTTCAGAGGTCGTTATTGCGACTTTTCGTGCCCCTGTTTCAAAAACCCGCGAAACTGTAAGTGAGGAGCCTTCATGATTGGTTAGATAAACGACCCGACTTTCTAATCCCTTGCATTCTGGAGCGGCCAGCATGGAATCGGTATTAGCATCGCCATGTCGTTGTGCTCAAGGCTTGAAACTGCCTATGCAAAGAGTATCCACCGCCTTTTCGACCGTGGTTCTAACCTACCTATAGTCTCCATTGTAGTTCCTTTTTGTGGTTACCTTATAGGATCCTTATTATATAATTGGTTAAACCACAAAAAGGAACTACGATGGAGACTGCAGGTAGGTCCCCTTATGACCCTGTGTTGTTCAGGTGAAGGAGCGAACACCGTGGCTCAGCTTGATGTTTCCTTAGGGCCTTAGGGGTACTTAGAAATAAATTGTAACTTCGGGTTAGTATAATCCCTAAGAAACAGGCAAAATTATAGTTTGTGCTAGGGTTCTAAGTTCAGTATAGTTTCCATCAGCGACTTGAAAGGGTTTCGGGTTTCGGGTTTGAGCTCCTTGATCGAGGCTTCAAGCGGGCGTGGGTAGCTGTCAGCAGGGCTATGACGAACTCCTGATAGCTGACATGGGGTTTCCCCTATAACCCCTAAACCCCTACAAACCCTAAACCCTACAACAAACCACTGGAGCTTTGAAGCCCCAGGGGCGAAACGAAAACTAGCCTAATCCTTGCATCTCTGGGGCCCCAAAACAGTGATCTCTCATTTGAGGCCCTAAAGTTAAACCCTATAAACCCTAGACCCAAATTGTGGGAGATCGTTACTTCGCATCTGAGGCCCCTAAACTTAGACCCTACGCCCTACACCCAAATTGTGGGAGTGAGGTATTCCTCGTCTTGAGGGCAAACCCGCTGCAGACCGGCGGATTGAAGAACCCCCGGTTTTCTACCACAAGTTTTCATCGGCTGAAACTGTACATACTTAAGGGCTCTCAAAGCTTACCCTAAGGGTCCATGTACCTAAATAGTACATTCGGCCCAAAGTATATACTACTTGGGTACATGGACCCTTAGGCTTACTTATTACCTTACTTACTAAGTCCCACGAGCTTTTAATACCTTACTCATGTACTCGGTCCCATGAGCTTTTAAGTAATCTTACCCCCCCGGAACATCCCTAGAGCTCAGACCGCACCAAAGCCAGACAAAAGCCCTGAACAGACGGTTGAGGGCACAGAGCAGAGTCTTTCGAGTTTAGGGTTCAGGGTTTAGGGTTTATGGAACCCAACCAAGAAAGCCGTGAATGCTTCAAGCCCGTGACCCGTCAGCTAAAATGCTTAGCCTAAACATCCCTCCGAAGTAATAGGGTGTAGGGCTTAGCGCTTCAATCATCCGCCCCTCAAAGTTAATCTCCAGTGCCGTGATCCTAATCCGCAGACTCCTAAACTCCAATCCCTGTACCCCCAAGCTTCCTACTTAGACTACCCAACACAGAACTCCGAATCTATGATCTAGACACTTGGATGATAAGTTCCAAACAAGGCCCTATGTCAAACCCTGAACAAAGGCTTTTTCAATTATGAAGAGCTTGTGCAGACCTCGTCGAATTGCAAGGGACCTTTCTTCACGGATCATGGGACTTTGTTGCTATCGTTCTAATTTGGGTAACTCTACTTTTTTCTACTGATAACCCCAATTAAGGTACTTATAACCTTACTTACTAAGTCCCATGATCCTCCAAGTAACGTCGAAGGCTTCGTCACCGGTTGCGCACACGGTCTCCCACCGTGCCTTTGAGGAAGCTCTTCGTACCTATAGTCTCCATTGTAGTTCCTTTTTTTGGTTAACCAGTTTTATGGTTAGGATCCTATAATAGAGATTTTGGTTAACCAAAAAAAGGAACTACAATGGAGACTATAGGTAGGCTCTGAGGGGTTCTGGTTTTATAGGGGTTTGGGAGTTGAGGGTTGTGGGTTGATTTGAAGGCTTTGGATTTGCACCTAACAAGAGGTTTAGGCAATGCGGACGCAGGGGTTCCCAACTTGAAAAGCCAGCTAGAAGTGATGTCCCGCTGGGTGAAGTTGTAGGGTGTGGGACCTCCCAGAAACGCGCGGGACAAGCAACATAAGCATGCCGTAATGTAGTTTCGGAGCACCAGGGACAACGGCTCCTTATAAACCCTCTCACCTACACGTATAGATAAGGCAAAGTCCTACGTATGCAGCAGGGTCTCAACAATGTCAACTGAGATATGGGCTGAGTTTTGGTGCTTAATGCTTTGGGTCAAGAGGGCCGAGAATCCTGAACACTTCTCACCGAGTTTTCATGCTTCTACCGAGGAGGGCCTTTGTCCTGGAATCAGAATCGCGACTTTCTCCCCAAGAGCGTGCACCATCCGATTTGGCCACGGGAGGTAAGCTCCGGTAGGATGCGGGGGGGTTTCATGAATCCAGGGGTAAAAGGAGGGACCCTAAATAAGGACCCCTACGTATATACCCTTAATATATATATATATATATATATATATATATATAGCTATTATATACCCATTTTATAGCCCATTATAGGGTAGGGGTCCCCATCAAGGGTCCCTCCTTTTCCCCTTTGAATGAAGGAAGGGTCATCGGCGCTTTCGGGGTTAGGATACCTCAATCTTCTCGGGTCTTTGGAATTTGTCTCTTTTTGGGGCTGGTTCCTGGCGTGCCTACATTAAGAAGGAGGGGCTCAGAAGCCACCAAGTAGATGCAAACGCGTGTGCAATAGTTGCTTATTACCCTGTCCCACTGGTGCGGAATAATAGTTAGTCACAGTTCCACTTCAACTAAACAACGATCAACCGTCCTGAACTCTGCACCCGAAACGGTGCCGTTGGCTGAATCTGTTTGAGATGTTCAGGTCACTAAGCAGGCTGCCTGCCCTTTTGCTGGTTGCGTATTCATCTTGGGTCCTGCGTATAATGCATAGCACAGAACCCTATAATCCGGTGTCATGGTTTGAACCCTGGGCTTTCCGACTCGAAGACACGACAATGACCATGAGAAGGACATTGATGCTGGCGAACTTGCCGCTGCTTCTGTTCGTGACAATGTGCTCCAAGCGCTCATTTTGGCACGGCTAAGAGTACCAGAGCGACATGTCCCAGCCTTGCAACGATCTTCGAGCAGACACGCGAATAGACCTGGGCACCTTCGATCCGTAGTGAGTGAAGGCGCTGGGCATCAGTACTACATAAAAAGTTTGTAGACCCATGACCACCTCATTGCAAAGCCTTAAATTCAGAACATCGGCCCTATAGAAGGCATCTACTTAATTAATCCCACAGCCCGAGAAACCGAGAGCCTTATACTCAAGAACCCCCAAACTTATACATTAAAACACCAAAACCCAGAACCCCAAACTCCAGAATCCTGCACCCCGAGCCCTAAAAGCCTCACACCCTTAGGGCAGTGTGCCCTGTAACTTCAAGGTTTGAACCGGACTTAAGTGCCGGCTGAGGTGCAAGATATGGGGTCAAGCTTGAGGGGTTAGACTGCAAGGGCTTCGCGTTTGCGTGTTTCCGGACTGTAGACCTACTGGTAGCATTTTCTTGTAGATGCAATCTGTAGGTCTTTCGCACTCTGGTCGGAATGACATCTTGAAGCTAACCTACCCAAGTATTCGGGGAAAGCCCTCCATCCCGAAGAAACCGAATCCGGGGTTCGAGATTTGGGGCGCAAGCCATCAGCCCTCGACTCGGAAACCGTAGGATTAGGATTCAGGTTTCTGGACCCCCAAAGTATGCAGAATAACAGCCCTTTATAGGTTTTGTGCCATTATTTTACCTACTTTGGGGGGTTTAGGTTAGGGTTGGTTTCCATATGGAATACCCTGTAGAGTACCCTACAGACTACCTTGCAGAGAAACTGTGTATATGGCGGGGGATGTTTTGACAGGCTTGGCCAGAGTTTGCCCATTTTCTGGAGAAGCACAGCGAAGTGTTTCGGGCAGGACTGGACACGACCTCAGATTATGTCTGACGATTTCGTGCTTAGGGTTATGGCTCAGCATCGTCCATATATGGTAAAGCTTTCATGTTCAACCCATACAAGTCGCGAAACACCTCATTGAATATTCTATTCCCTGCAGGGATACCGAGGTCGCGAGACTTTCCTCCCTAAGCCCTAAACCTAAACCGGCTTCCTCAGTCACTACAGAACCGCGGGTAACTGGAAAAGTTCACATGGAAGTTACGCGCCTTCTTGTAAGGAGGTTCGAATGGCTGTTGTAACCATAATGCGAACCTGCCTCATGGCATCGTATGGCTAGTTTTGGGACAGGTATGTGGAGCAACCACTGGCCGCTCACCTATTCATTACTTACCTGCGAAGGTGTCATCTCAAGGAAACTGAGCCATGCTCATGTCCGGTTTCGTGATTAATCTGATGCATATCGAGTGAGCAGTGTGGCTTCGGGGCTTCATGTCGCTTACATCTTTATACCGCGCTGCGTACTCTATGGCAACTACAGTATAGACATTATGATGTTATGTTTTGGCTTTTGAGTGAACAGGTAGGGCTCGCTGCAATTCGGGTTTCGGCAGCAGAGCTTCCCTGAGTCCTATATAGATCTTAGCAACCCCATGGCTGCTATGGCCACCAGCAACTCAGCCGGCGCCTGGGAGCAGCTGAAACCGTCCATCGTCGGACCTCCACGTGCCTTCGCCAAAACATGGATCTCAGAAACATATAGAAGGGTCTGTGTACCCATAAGGTATAGATACACCTGCATACACTTTGGCCCAGGGTACCAAAAAAGGGGCAGGTATGTATGTGAGGATCTAGGTTTGTGCCCTCCCCTCTTTGATGGTCATGGTGCTGGTTCTGATGCAACGGCTTCCAAAACCTGTTCAGCCTTAGACCCCACAGCCTAAGAAGTTTGGGCACCATCCCTGGGCATCAAAGTAGCCCAAAAGCCTTGCATAGTATGGTCTTTGGGCCCAAAAGCCTTACTCGGTGGCACTTAGGGAAACTTTTTATATTTTCATTATGGTTCCGATAGAGGTACCGATTTACAAATACTTTTCAGAGCCCCGAAACTACAACCCAGCTTAATATATGAGTCCTAAGAAGTCTGGCACCATGCAAGGGATCACAAAGGCTTCAAGCCTCTGCACTCGGAGCCTTGCGCCCTACGCCTTAAGCCCGAGCCGCCGTCCATGAAATCCCTGGAGGTTTTTGGGGTTTAGGGTAGACTACGGTTGATGATATAAATCCTGCAGTACCTTAAGGACCCTAAACTATGGGAATTATGGCATAATCCTTATTATGGGTAATGCAGGATTTATATCATCAACCGTATGAGCCCTAAACCCTGAAGACCCCGATGCTCTAAAGCCGGCAACTCAAAGGATTTGTTCCTTGCAAAGCCAGGCTGTAATCCTGGAGTTTCTTCGACGAGCAGCACAAAGAGTCGGACTGCCCGGTTTGCCCCTGTCGTTGCATCCGATCCTTGCTCCAAGAGTTGATAGGTCTTGGGGGCCTTGATTCAAAGATTTCGGGTTCATTGATTGCGTTTGCTGTAAGGGGGTTTAGGAGGTTAGGGCTTCAGTGCCCTTCAGGGTTTGCAGCTTTAGGCCTTGGCTTCAGAGTCTTTGTTTCCAAGAGGTGGGGGAGTTTCGGGCTCAAAGTTCCCGGCTAGAATCAAACTCAACCCCCAAATTCCTCTCTGATTCAGGCGGAAGGGAAATGGTGCAACAAACCTTATTCCCACGCCCTCAACTCCACCTGAACACTAAGTCTGCCCTAAGGGTCCCTTGTGGAGGTAGCTGTTGGAGCCTGGCCTATCCGTCAGCGAGCTCCTGCAAGGCTTCCTCTGAGAGCCTTCGAAGATGAGCTAGGGGCATCCTGGCTGCTTTACTTACTTAGCCTATTGGAGAACTTTAAACTTGTTGGCTTCATATATTTGGTCTAGCTTAAAAAGTTTGAACTTTGTTTGGGCCTGGTTATTGGAGAAGAGAGTTTACTTAATGGCTGTAAACTCAACTTTTCAACTTGCGGGGTTCTTATAAGGTAGTCGATTCTGAAAGTTTCAACTTGTATTTCCTTGGGTTTTGGGCAATTGAGTTAAACTCAATGCTCCATGTACCCAGATAGTATATACTTCTGCTTTAGAGGGGTTCTTATATACGTATTTTAAGGCTCAAGAATATATATATATATATATATATGTATGTGTGTATATGCATATATATATATATACATATATATATATATACACTCTATCGGTACATGGAGCCTTAGGGTTATTTCATAAGGATTTGCCGCTCAGGGTTGTGGGTTTCGGATTTAGGATTAAGGTTTTCAAGGGAAAACTTACATCCCCATGTGGACTTCCTCTTGTGATGCTGGTGGACATCGGTTGGTAGACAACTTCAGATTTCATTTTCCAAAGTGGGACAGGACGTAGAGGAGGCCGTGTGTAAAGGTTTCCTGGGTTTGGCACCTTTGTTTGCATGTAGTGTAATATGACTCGTGCACGTAATTGTACAAGTACAGCGTGTCTTATGTTTATCGTCACTGTGAGTGCTGCTATAGGCTTCGTCAAGAGCCGTGCTCAGTTGCGACTCCCTTAGCCCTCAACACTAAACCCCTAAACCCTAAACCCTATAAGTCAAAAACCCGATAGCATGGACACGCACGCCAAGGTTCAACCACCTCTTGGATTTTGGGATCCTATGGGGTTCACTGACGACGGTGACCTGCTGTCCTATCGTCGCCGCCGATCCGTCGAATTTAAGCACGGGCGCATTGCGATGCTAGCGACCATGGGCTTTATGACTCCCGAGATCGTTGGTCACTGGCCAGGACAGGGGTTCAGGGCACTTTATAACAGCTCTTATTGGGCTTCAGGGGATCTTACCTACCGAGATTTTCCAAAGGCTTTAAAAGCACCTCCCAGTTTAAAGTGAAAGCCAGAAGTTGGAATATGATTATCCTAAGCCCTTTATGGTAAATTATAAGGCATCCTACCCTGAAACCATATTCCAACTTTCTGGAGTTCCGTTTAGGGTCTAGGGGCTAAGGGTTTTGGGTTTAGCGGTTTCGGGGTCTAGGCTTTTGAACCTAAGAACTTCGTCGTAGAGCCCGTGACCTTTAAAAACCTCTTACCTGTTTTGGGGTACTATACTACTTGGAGGATCATGGGACTTAGTGAGTAAGTAAGGTTCTAAGTACCTTTATTGGGGCTATAAGTAGCTATATGTAGAGCTACTCTAATTATAACCCTTAGTTACTAAGTCCCATGATCCTTTAAGTATATTCCCTGAGCAAGCCCAAAAGCGATCTTTTGGTTCCACCTCGGGGCTTGGGATTTCCGGGTTCAGTCTCAGGTTCAGGGACTTGCATGCCCGCAGTTTGGTGCTGGCACTCTGGGCCCTTATCAATAACAGCAGCAGTTCATAATGTTAACAGAAGAAATAATAGTTATAAATAAGATACATTTAAAGAGACAATGGTACCAATCATAATCGTATTAATAGTCCATAAGTCTATATGTGAGCTTCAGGAAAGCATGGCCCCAAGACGGATCCGAACGAGTAGGATGTTTGACATAAAGAACAACCCAATAGTTAGTCCCTCGTTGTCAGAAACACCTATGGAGCCCGAAAACTCCGAGAAATCTGTTATGCAGCCACAAGAACCTCTGAAAAAGGTACCCCATTCTTGGCAAACCAACATTTGAACTCGATCTAGCTGGCAGGTGTTGTCCTCGGCCGTCACCAGAGTGAAGCATCAGACGGAAAAGACCCGCCTTTACTTTCTAGGGCAACCACAAACTCAGTATTATTGCCCAAAGGTGCCGTAATTCAAGCTAGGTAACACAGGGTTTTTGTTTACACCGTCTCGACATTCGAATATGTTCTGGGTTTTAGGATTCAGGCATGCTGGAGGAGATCCGGCTCCGGGCATTCAGAGTCTTAGCTCGCACCAAACAGGACAACCTAAACACCTAAAGCCTAAAACCTGCATCACAAACCTGAACCGACATCTCTGAAGCACAGCGTTGTCTCGAGGATACATCTCGCCATCTTTGCAGCTGAAATTCGACGACGTTCCAAACGGTCTGCTTGCGCTTTTGGTGGTACCTGCACTAGGCACAGCCTTTGTGGTTAAAGGTTCAAGGTTTAGATTTGAGACTGTAGGGTTGAGGGCTTTAGGGATACAGTGTGCAGGGTTCTGTCTCCTAGGGCTTAAGGATCAAGGCATGGTTCGTTTCTCTGGCATTTCAGGCTTTCACCGGGCCATCAATTATGTTTTTTCGCCAGGAAGAATACTAGTACTCTGCAGACAGGTCGGGACGACTAGTGGATTTGGATTTGTTGGTGGTGCCTGCTTCGCATAGATGCTTCGATCGACCTTGACATCACAATGAGGCCGTGTTTTGTCACAGCCATGGATCTTGAGCGAGTTCGAAATTCACATTCTGGGGCTATAGACTGCAGACATTTTTGTCGTTACGCTCTGTCCCGACAAAGCATGCATAGGAACTCCCAAACCCTAAACCACAGCCCCTAAGCTCACAACTCCGAACCCAAAGCCTTTGATGAACCCAAAGCTCTAACTTCAAATTCAAAATCATGCACCATCATGGACTCCCAGTCCGATGCCAGACAAACCCAAGCAGGTTTCTAGGTGGTAGAGCTTTGACTTTAGGGGTTAGGATTTGAGGGTTTAGGCACTAGGGGTTAGGGTCCCGGGGTTTTACTTTAGGGGTTTGCCTGACCACATGGTATGCTGAGCCTTGCCAAGCCCTGGAGAGCCCACCCTTCACTTTCACCAAGTGCCAAACTCCAAAGCCTACTTGGAGGATCATGGGACGTAGTAAGTAAGGTTATACGTACTTTAATTGGGGTTATAAGTAGTTATAAGTAGAGCTGCCCTAATTGTAACCCTAGTTACTAAGTCCTATGATCCTTTAAGTACACCTTGTTCCCCAAATTCTAAAGCCAAAACTC